TCCGTATCGCCTTCCTCTCCGCATTCGCAGAAAGGAGTATCCCTAAGTCTGAATCTGTTCAGGTATACTGGGAATGGTCCATGACCTGTCAAGAACTGTGTTAGGCTAGCACAGTGGGTCTTTATTTCCATGTTAACTTTTGGCAGTAAGCGAAATGTCCTTCGTCCTGCCTCTGCCTCTGTCCATCTACTTTGCCAATTTTGTAGCAGACTTGTCAAAGTTGTTCTCTTAATATGAGACCAAGGAAGTTTAGTTGGTCTTTCTAATATATCCGTGCAGTTGGCTGCCTGCTTGGCCAGTAGGTCAGCGGCTTCATTGCCTTGAATCCCTGTGTGAGCGAGAACTCGTTTTAAAGTGGGTCTTTGCGAAATAGGCATTGTCAGAAGCTGTTTCTGAATTCTGTATACCAAAGGACTCCGGCTGTTTTGACTTGCGATAGCCGCCAGACTTGATGCCGAATCACTGAGTATGGAGAATTTCTCCTGTTGACATGTGTTCGCATATCTAATTGCAGCACTGATAGCTATCTTATAATTGAATATCTAATTGATGAACTCTGCTTGGTATACAGAGTTGTTCAAGCCTAATTTCCTTTTCCACTCGAATGTTACAACTCCATTTTCTAGTCTACAGAAGGCGCTGCCTGTGCCGTTCTCAGTTTTGTAGCCATCTGTGAAAAGGTTATTACTGTACCTCTGAATTGGTTGGTCGTTTATACTGATACTGTCGGAGAGATTAAAAGCTGCTGGATGAAAGTTTTTTCAGTTGTTTTGATCTTCGTAGTCCAAGTGGTGATAACTATGACCCCAGAGTGTTGAAGTTTCACCCAGCCTGGTAACCCTTACGATAGCTGCCTCCCTTTCTACTATCAAATCTAGGGGAGGAATTCCTGCTAGTTGTTGTAGGGCTAGTGTTGACGTGGTACTGTATGCGCTGCATACTTGAAGTAGCTGCTGTCTCTGAATAGAGAGCAGCGATCTTTTCATATGAGAGGTAAGTTCGCCACCCCAGATTGCTGCTCCGTAAGTTATTACTCTTTCTGTAATGGTTCTATGTCAAATTTTTAGTAGCTTAGATGAGATACCCCATTTATGTGAAGTCATGCGTCTCATGTTGTTGCTTAGGATGCTAATTCGAGTCTTAAAATTCCTGACATGTGGCATCCAAGAAAGTCTGTTGTCGAGTAATAGCCCAAGATATTTCAATTGGGGGAAACATTTTACCCCGTGGAGTTTAATGCTTGGGTTGCGTCTTAGCTGCCTGCTGCGTCCTATGAGTAAAGCTTTAGTTTTCTCTGCCGAAATCTGAAGCTTATGTGCTCTGGCCCATTGGGAGAACAGATCAAGACAGTATTGAGATCTCATTTCGAGGTTACTCCTTCCTGACACAAATAGCATAAAATCGTCCGCATAGGCTATGATTCGAGCGTATTCTACGCTCTCAAACTGACGAAATGCCGAGTTTGCCACTATATTCCACAGTGTTGGTCCAAGGCATGACCCCTGTGGGCACCCTCTAAAGACATTCTTGACATAAATGCCGCTGTCTGATGTTACTTGTACACTTCGATCTTGAAGGTACGAGCGAAGCAAGGTAATAATGGCTGTTGGGCAGGCCATGTTGTGCAGCAAATTTATTACGTCTGGCCACCAAAGGGAGTCAAAGGCTCCCTTGATGTCAATGGCTATTACCAGTGAGTGCAAATTGTTATCCTTGTTCTGTTTGATAGTGGCCATTAAGTCTTTTATGGCATGTTCAGTTGAGCTGCCCATTCGGAATCCATATTGGTTGGGATGCAGGGCGTTGTTCCTTTGCAGGAAGAAGTCCAGTCTGTAAAGAATTACTCTTTCCAATACCTTACCGAGCGCTGGCAGTAGACAGACTGGCCTGTAAGATGAAGGTTCTGCCGGAGTTTTGCCTGATTTTAGGAATAACGCCACTTCTGCTAACTTCATATTTTTAGGAAAGTACTGATGTTTCCAGCAAGCTGAAATGACCGCAAGGAATAGTTTTGGGAATTCCCGGTGTATCTCTCTAATGATGATATTATCAATTCCATCCGGACCTGGAGCTTTTTTGGGTGCCAGAGTACGTATGATGTTGTCCACTTCCATTTGCGTAGGAGGGATTTTGTCTCTTCTGGTAACTTGGCGAAATTTCATGCTGTAGGTTTTTCTCGCTTCCTCTTGCTCCTCTAAGAAATCCTCTTCATCATCATCAGGAAAAACTGCATTTATGATCTCACTGATTACTTCGATGTTGGATGAGGCAGTGGTATTCACCATAGGCGAAAGGGTCGTAGGACGAAACACCTTGTTATATGTTATCTTTTGAGTAGGTCCAAAGGCTTTACTGACATTACTACAGTACGTTCTCCATGAGATTAACTTGGCCTCTTTAATTTTTCTTTTATATAAAGCTCTGGCTTTATTGTATGTTATTATTTTGAGTTGCCGTAGATATGGATCTGTCGTGGATTGTGCTTTTCTGCGAAGTGCCCGAACTGTGCTCCTCTCTGTGTTAAGCTCTGGTGACCACCAGGATATCGAGTGTTTTGCCTTTACAGATTTCAAACGATATGCTTTGTGGGCGGCTTGCACTATTTTTGTAACTAGTAAGTCGTAGAGATTATCTAAGGAGTTTCTGTCCTGGCAGTTGTTGAAATCTTTGATAAATTTCTCTACATGCGCTCGAATGTGTTCCCGTAAAACGGAATGTCCTCCAAATGCCGTTTTGAATCTTTTCTTTATTATGCAGTCTATAGGAGTATCCAGCCTGTAAGTAATAATTTTGTGATCACTGAGTGATGGCTGGTCACTCACTGTCCAATCTTGTATGTACGGTGTTGTATTGGGAGTTGATATTGTCAGATCTGGCCACCCTCGAGCTCTAGATGTTTCAAAGGTAGGCGGTGAGTCCTGAGCGTTGATGACAATGAAATGCTTACTGTCCAAGAATTCTAGTATCGCACTTCTTCGGTTCTCCGAGTCAGCACCCCATAGTTGACTGGTGGCGTTAAGGTCTCCTGCTATGATACAGTGTGATGCCCCAGTTAGAAGGTTAGAATTAAGTTCTTCTAATAGAGAGGTAATATCTTCGCTCGGGGGTAGATACACAGCAATAATATCAATGCTGCAATTACTAGTATCTAGTCTGATGGAGACTGTATGCTCTGTGATTTTCATTAGGAGAGGGGAGAGTGTTGCTGGTATTCGATTGCTGCCTTGGCTTGCACGATCTCAAGATTTGTCACCTACTGAAAACATCTAGTCATGGGTTGCTGAGCGATTGGCCCGCCAACCCTCTCCAGCTAATACGGTTGATGAAGTGTGGTATAGACTTGAAGCAGCATCGAATGAGTTGCCCATGTCTGTCATCCAAGTCAAGTTTGACTCCATGCCATGGGATAAGGGCCGTTTCAGCTGCGATGCGAAATTAGTAGAAACAGCTGCCACCATCCTTGTAAATCTCCAGAAAGTTTACAAATTTAATAATTTTGTCTTAATGCCGTACTATTAACGTGCAATAAATATCTTTTTAAATTTGCTTTCCTTCATGCTGTTACAATTTTAATCGCCCAGCTGTTACAATTTTAATCGCCCAGCTGTTACAATTTTAATCGCCTTCGATAGAGAAGGTTGAATAATACCTCACCAATATGTGGACTACAGACCTATGATTTGAGAAGACTGTTACGTACGTAATATGAGAAGGAGAAATACTTATCGAAAGAAAGAAAAGATATTAAATGTCTCTTCTTTGATTTCTTTTTTATGGAGAACAATTTTTGTTTCCCTGATCTTTTCGAGGAAAAGTTGTAATTTTTTTTAAATAGTTTAGATATTTACCTAATTTTCAGGACCTTCCAAGTGAGCGGGAACATGTAAAGAAGCTAACCAAATAATAAAAATTAGCACTCTTAAAATTAGTGGCGAGCACAACAAATGAGTCAAAATAAAAACACCAGCGAAACCACCAGAATAAAAAGGAAAGTGATACAACAAAACTGATCGGGATTATTTCAGGGGAAATCACATAGCATATACCCCGAACAGTAGCTAAGTTTCTGATAATTGCCTGCCCAGATTTGTTTACTCTCCCCTCATCTGTTGTCTATCTGATCATTTCGATCTCATTTGAAAGCATCTGTTTGCTCTCAATGATGGAGACGCTACTTTAAATAACATCAGCTTCTCCTTCATTTGGCAATTTTATTTGTATTTTCTGCTTTTTATCCATAAAGTAAAATATGAGTTTCTAAAATAGAGATTCAGAAAGTTTTTTTTTTTTTTAATGCATTACTTCACGTACATGATTTTTTTTCTTTTACATGCATATTTTATTTAGGTACTTTTCCAATCACTTACCTTATATATAGTACGTTGGTGTCCATAATTAACCTACGGAAAAGCTTGAGTACTAGAGGAACAAATCCATTTTGAAATGTTATCTCCTCAGGAAGTTAAGTATTTATAAATTCAAATCATTCGGTTATGAAGGCGTTAAACTGGTTGGAAGGGAAACTATGGAAACAATTTCGTAGAAATAGCCTTTTCTTTCTTAAACCTTTATTTTATCGTTGATGTACCATGCCTTATCATTAATTCAGTCGCCTTTCATTTGTTTTTTATTTCATTTTATTTTCAGAATGCATTAATTCAATTTAATGCATAATTCCTCTAATTATAACTAATTTATAAATATTTTAATTTACTTTTTTTGGATTTCACTTAATTTTAATTACACATATTTTAAAATTTTATTCGTTATTATTTTATATGTTTCTCTTTGACATTACTGATCACTCTTTCTCTTCTAGTCTATTCTCTCTGATTTCTCTTCTAGTCTATTACTGATCACCTTTAATAAGACTCCGACACTTCCAGTTTCTGAAATTAAAATCTGATAACGACAGCTATTGACAGAATATCATAAACATGTTTAATAATATTTCATTAGAATTAATTCAATAATTTCCAATTTTTCCCCTTCCAATTTAGTGTGATCTGCCCGTACGAGATGTTAACCAGGATGAAATTGAATATGCTTATAAGCACGGTAACTACATTGGATGGACTGAAGTATCGGCTAAAGAAGGTCTGATGGTGGATGACTGCATGAAGTAAGATTTAGAAATATAAAATTTTAAACTATTTTTAAGGGTTTTAGTACTATTATTTTAATTTTAAAAAGTTTATTAATTGTGATTTTTTAAGCTTAATGCAGGGTTGAGAAATTAAACGACTTTGAAAAACATTTGCATCACACTGAAATTTAATAATGAATCATTTGGCCACACCTACATTCAGCTTGTATCTGGTCATCTATGAAAAGAAAATATATATTTTTTAAACTATTCATTTGTAAAAACAAGAGAGACATAGAAATGCGAGACTGATGTCTGATGTTTTTAGCGCTTTGCGTTTTAGTCGAGCTTGTCTCATGCGAATTCAAGATTAATTTATCAATGCAGTTCTACCGTATTAGTTGGTGACTGAGTTGGATTTGACAGAGCACGATTATGATCAAACTAAAGCCCTAGACATGCTGGGCAGAGTAAGGGGAAAATGGAAGTAATTACGGTATTTTCCTTTTGTCAAGAAATAAACAATACTCTTAATCTAATTTTGTTATGAATGCAATTAATATTAAGACTTACAATATCAAAATGGTTTTAGCATTGCTACCTAAGATCAAAAATCAGAAGAAATAGAAAATAATCATTTTCGCACAATTCTTTTCTGTATGAGTAAAAAAGTGCACAAGGATGGAAAATCCTTATGCACTTTTTACCCCAATTTTGAAGGAGCCCCCGGGATGCTCTCCCTCAAAATTGGGGGTGGAAAATAGAAGTCCAACCTCTCTTCGGGGTAGGCTCTGGCAACCATTGTTCCATGTAATATGGACAAGACAACAAGTCTTTAGCGGCCTTATTCGCTTCATCGCTGATGGGCAAATTGCATAATGAATGGAAATCTAATAATTATCTTTCATATTCGATTCTGATATTTAAAAAGCTCTTTTTTTTTTTTTTTTTTTTTTTTTTTTTTTTTTTTTTTTTTTTTGTTTTTCTTCTCTTCCCTATTTCCACCTCTTCTAGTGTATCAGCCTGGGTTTTATCAGTGTGAAAATTATCTCCTGTTCTCTTCCGCAATTTCCTGGAATCTGAGAACAAAATACATCTATCACTAAAATAAATACATAACTCATAAATCTTAAATTTACTTATATAACAATGCGTCTCAGTTCAAGAGAATAGGAGAACTCGTGCACAATGCCTTCAAAAATGACTATTATTCCCTGATTCTGAATTCACATTGTAGAGTTCCTCACTTTGGAATTCTAAGTTAATGTTGGAAATGAGGAATCTAAGAACTGATGAGCGAATAATCGCTAAAGTTCGGTGACAAGAAACAACAACATAGAAGGGTAACTACCCCTTTATTATTCCAATAAGATTTAACAAAACTCCGCCTGGAAGTGTACAAGCAAAGCCCGCACTTGGGCTTGAACTTAAAAGACTAAGAATTAAACTAAAACTAAGATTAACTAAAGAAGTATAGCCGAAGCTATCAAGGTTCAGATTGAGCTGACCCCTTAATTGACTACGAAGCTTAAGGGCCTGAGTACGGCCGTGCGTAATAACAGCTTTGAGAAAGAGAGTGGCCAAAAAGGCAGACGCGCGTAAATCAGAAACTCTGATTCTCTCTGCCTCCGTAAGTAACTTCGTGGTTTAAATACCGCTCCTCCTCATTAAATATTCAGCAAGATTCCAAAAGTACGTTCTGGCCGGAAGTAGTAAGTTGAAGTTAAGAATTTGACAGGAAAGGAACTTTAACTTAAAATTTAACTGTTAATAAAATTAACATAATCCTTACAATATATGTAAACATCATAAAAACTAAGTTCAGTTATATTGGTATACAAAGATTAAAAAAACAATCCTTTTTGTCATTGAAATGGCAATTGTTAAAACAAACACAAGAAATCATGAAAAAATAAGGGAAGAATTCAAACACAACAGCGTAAGGAACTGTATTGAAGTCTTGAGTTCTCATCATTCTTTAACATGCAGCGTAAACTTTGACGACCTCACAGCCTGTCTTGTATGAAAAATTATACTACGCACTGTTACCTATTGCATACTGTTATCCTATTCTTTCCTATGTATCGGAAAGCAGAACCACTTAAAAAACGTTTGCTATTCGTTGCGCCTTGTACAGTATACATTATTGCTATCTGTTGCTATGAGGCCTGGTCATTTCTGTGCCTTTTGTTTCAAAGAAGTCCCTCAGTTTATTCAAAGAAACCAAATGTTCAATATAAGTTCATTGGTAATGTAGAATGAAAGTTTTACAACAAATACTTCGAAGGTTATGCGACACTTTCAAGTTATAAAGCCTTTGTTCTCTTACAGCTTTGAATAATAGTCTTCAGTGTTCAGTCCCATTTTTCCTCTAGCTTTCAAGCTTAATTTCACTAAAGGAGAAAAAGCCCTTTCATTTCGGACCAAGCAATCTAAAAGCATAATGCTTAAAAGAAAACAAGTGTTAAAAAAAGAAGAAAAAAAGAAAAGAGAAGAAAAAAAGTTAATTTGGGACATTTAATTTTAAGATTTACTACTTATTATCTAAATATTGCACAAAAGAGAAATACGGTAATATAATTTTGAGAGATTGTTTTTTGCGTTAATTTTGGATTTCAGTTAAGTCAATAAATATAGCAAAAATATTAAACTTTTTTTTTAAATAATATAGAGAGTATGTCAACTTCATAGCCTTGAGTTTTATTTTCTTAATCATCTAGCAAATTAAATTCTTGTTACTTAGAATGATTTAATAGGGTAGTTAATAAATACGCAGATAATTCATTCAAATTTATTTTATTTTATTATTAGCCAAAGGGGCAAATCGCCTAGAAGGGCTATTAATTTTGTATTGGCATTTTGCGTTGGCTGGCATTTTGCTTTGGCATTGGCATTTTGCATTGGCATTTCGACCAAATATTAGAGCCCAGCATTATATTTAAATTAAATAATGAAAAATCTGCATGAATGTATGTATGTTTCTCGAACTGTGAAAAACAACGGGACCTATAGACATCAAATTTTGAGCAACGTAGTCCTCCACTCGAATATGGACATCTGGAAACTCATTTTCAATGTTCAATTTGTTTTATTATCTACTTCGAATTTTGTAAAACTTAATTTTTAATTAACAAACTTAGCAATTTCAAAGCGAGCAACAGCAACACTGTACGAAAAAAAAAAAAAAAAAAAGCGTTTTTATCTCCAGTACGCAAGATTGTGAATCGGAAATTCTAAAGATATGCCCTTTTTAATTTATCTTGTGATTTTGCTGTTGAATTGAATTTTATGGTTTAAGTGCGGAGAACATGTTATTTAATAAATAAAGGTAACACACAAAACGTTAAAAAAAAAAACGCCTCTTTGGGCGTAATATAAAATCTGAAAGCTTTCAGATTTTTTGTGAGCGTCTATGTTTGGAAAAATAATCAGGTAATTACTGATTAAAAGGAAGCATAAAGCAAGAGAATTTAATAGAATGAAAAACGTACATAGCCGATTAGCGGGCAAAATGTATAATATTGCTGAACATTTCTAGTTTGGCAAAGGTTAGAATATTAGAGAACGAGCTTTTATGGTTTTTCTTAGGTTTCCTTTTATGGTTTGGAAAACTACAAACCAGTTTCCCTGAGAAAGCCTTCCATAGATGGGATGGCATCCCTTCACTAGAATGTCTATGGGGACAGATAACCTTTGTGTGCTTTTTTTGTACTGATTTAAACAAACAGTAGCAAGCATATATGAAATACTAATTTTAATGATAAAAATTTGATGTAATTGTAAGATCATATATATCGCTGACATCAAGCCGAAACCACTAATCAACAACATACCTTTCCGAGGGAAATAATTTTATTGGCATGCGCTTTAGTTTGCAAAAATCGATGTTCTACACTATAGTTCTAATACGGTTATCAAAAACAAATGCATTTTACAAAAAGTAAAATACTGCAAAACAGAAAAATAACAGAAAAAATTCAATATTAATATTAAAGGGTATCACCGTTGTCCTCGAAAGGGAATGAGAAAATATTGTTCATTTTTTCCTGATTCATTTACATCACATAATAGGCCTAAAATATAATGGCCATATAATGGCCTAAAATTTTAAAATGATATTTATTCAATTAAAAATTCTATAGTGTAGAACATCGATTTTTGCAAAATTCTTAAAACTACTATTTTTGCAGTTTTATAGCATCTATTCCTTTTAAACAAAAAAGTAAACATTTAAAAATAACATAAAACGTAAGCACATACTCTTTCCTCTCTTCCTCTGTTTAAGAACAAAGGCTTCTCGACGAATGGAACCGAGACATTTTACTAAATTGCGGTAATCGCCATAGGAGGTCCGATTAGCCCTTAGGGATAAACTTTGAGGAATACGACCAGTTCGATCATGAGAAAGTGAAAAGTAACGGATCAGATCTAACGTCATCGAAACTTGCTATGTTTTTCCCACAAATTTTGCTGTGTGTTGTGTTACTAGCAGTAATGTTTAACTTGTGCTGAGTTAAAATAAATTACTTAATATGGGGCGCCCTGAAAAAAGAACACATAAATTAGAAAAAAAAGTGTTAAATAAATCGAGAGTTTCTTTTCTCCAAAAACGTATTCATTTTCTAACGAAATGAACTCTGAAAGCATTTCGGTTGTGGAAAAAGGTAAGTAATCTTTCCCTTTCATTTGAAAATTCTGACCATTATACAAGTATAGCCTTTATAATAATAGATATAATTATAATAAATAAAATAACTTTTTATGCCATACAAAATTCATGATATTGTGTGTTTATTTAAACTGAACATTTTGGTAATTGGCAAACTTGTTCAATGATTAATTACCTTCGGTTATGAATTGTACTCGAAACATTAGTTTCATTTGCAGTTATCTTAATTTTATTTAACTATACTATTCAGAGATATTATCATGTTGCTGTTGTTGTTGCTTATGCTCACTTGTCTGACGTAGTCAGCCCAAGCCTACGAAGTTCCTCATGGCAAGAGTGCTAGAATACGCCTGCCATTGGCAACAGC